AACACGTGTGCGCCACCCAATTGTCCAAAACTGGTCCAGGTCTAAAAAAATTAAAAAATAATAGGGCACATTTTGGGTGTATCTGACATAGACACACCACTTTCTTAGAAGTGTTTGTGCTTCTTAGCATAATATGAAGGTGACATGATTTAATGTGAAAACCTTGAGAAAAACTCCCTCGAAGGAAAAAACAACGGACACATCCAACCCAATAAAATCTACTGTGGAATCAAAAGTTATGAGACTCTCAATGAAATGAATTACAACCCTTTACTCGGTTTTGAGTCTCCTGTAATTGTAAAGCTTCTCACTTGTTCTCCACTGCATGTGGCTCTGATCCTCTTAGATGCTTTTGATTCAACAGTAATCCACATAGCTTATTGTTCCTATCTCCGTTCAACACAGATGGCCAATGGTTGAGTATGTCATGCCAAAGTGTGGATTTTATGAAAAATAACTCTATCTAGAACATAATAAAGTGTAAAACCTTGTGTGCTCTTGTTCCTAGATTGAAAGAAACATGGGTTTCTAGCATTATGCTTTTTTGAAGCTGAATAGGGTTGCTCTCTAACTCAAAAGGCTGCTAGGGTCATTTATGATGGTTTATATGAGTTTTGGAGAATAGAAACATGAACTAGGTAAAGTTCTGCGTGTGGAGCTTGTAGTATCTCTGCAGGCTATAGGACATTTGAGCAGGCTTTCGAGAGCTCTTTCAGGTGGAGCTCTCAAGACCACTGCAGGCCATCCCTCAGTCAGGCAGCCCTTCAAGCACACGTTACAAAATATTTGCCGTTTTGCATACAGTGCGCTCAAACGAATTTGATGTGCGCTCAAGCAGTTTTTTTTTTTATTTTTTATTTTACATATATTTTTAAAACCAAATTTTCATAAATCTGAAACAAGAAATTTGAACTTTAAACTAGGTCAATCTTGTGCTTTTTCAAAATCGTGATGCAAGTGCTCTACCTTCAAGTGTAATGGGACGAAATCTTACACAAACCACGAATCAAATCTCAAATAGCTCTTCACAATTCTTAACCTGACCTGGCTACCCTTACAACCATGCACAAATTGCAATACATTGACCCAACAGTTTTGTCTCACGGAAATTGCTAACTTAACCTAGATCCTATTACACTTGCAAGATGCACTTGTCTATCCTTTCGCAGTATTTAAATTTATTGGCTGTTGTCTGAAAATATAGAAAGGAGTTTTTCTTTGTATATGACTATATGTTTTGTGTTTTGGTCCTTTCTTGTTTAGTGTCTCATCTCTAATACAACCAGTCCCCAAACCTGAAGAAAGTAGGGCTACTACAGGTGGACAACCATTAAAAAAGACAATCATAGCATATGAGCATCTAGAAGTTGGAATTTAGGCCTTTCAAGTTGAGTTGGTCACAAATAGAGCCATTGATTTGGTTTGCTTATCATCAGCAAGGGTTTATTACTTATTTCAAATCTTGGAAAGACAAAATTGGTGATGTATTAGATGGCCATGCATAGATGCAATGCAAGAATGTTAAGAAGCACGGATAAGGACACGTGACACAACACGGACATGCAGATACATAAATTTTCAAATAATGCAGGACACGACAATTTGGGGACACATTCAAAACATATATTTTTATTATACGTATATTTTTAAATATTTAATATGTATTTTATGTCAAATATTTAATTTTGTCAAATTTATCAACCTTAGGTATTGTTAAAATTGTAGTATTATTGATTGATGTTTTGATACAAGATTGATTAATTACAATTCCTATACAATCTATATATAGAAGAAAATGTGGTAGTAGGTGTAGTGGAGGTGATAGTGGGTTAGGTGAAGTGGAGTGTGTGGTGAAGTGGAGGTAGGTGAAGTGGAGTGTGTAGTGGAGTAGGTGAAGGTAAAGATGGGAAATTCTAACAGGTATGCTATTTTAGTAAAAAAATTAAAAACTTTAATTTTTTTTTTTTGAAACAAATAGTACTTCGCGTGTCCTTAGAGAGTCCTCAGCGTGTCCCTAGCGACGTGTCCCTAGTATTTCTCAACATGTCTGAAGTGTCCCAGCGTGTTCGACTCTTTCCAGCTTGTCTGACACATGTCCGAAGTGTGTTCGTGTCCGACACGTGTCGAACACCTGTACGTGACCTCCAGATAGGTGTCCATACTTCATAGCAAGTATGTATTATGAATAAGTTTGAAGTAAAAAGTGATGATGGGCCACAAATGCACCTTCAAATAATTTAAGATTAGGTATGTGAAGGTTAAAGCACGAAAATACATGCCAAAGGGAAAGAAGCAGGCATTAGTTTGATATTGTAAGCTCTTAAAATCTTGTTTATCAATTTATCTTAGTGAAAAGCTGTAATTTACACAGAGTGATGAAGAATGTAACAACCTCCCTTTTTGTCAATGCTTAGCAAATAACCTCTCTTTTACAGTAGCTGGCAGTGACAACTTGAATTTGATATTGGCATTGAAAGAAAAAGTTCATATGATTTTATAATGTAAACATGAATGAAGAAGAAAAATCCATTGTATCCAAATATAAACTAATGCTTGTTTAATAATTCAAAACTAGACAATTAAAATAATAAAATATATATCCTGACTTGTAAAGGCATCCGCCAATGAGCTTATTATCCGGTTAATATTTTGAAACGTAATTAGCTCTATTCAGTGCCTCATACAAGGATGGAAAGAGAAAAGACAAGGGTCCTCGAATAGGTTAATTTTCTTTAAAAATTTAGTAACCCAGTTTAGTAGATTTTTAACTGTTGCTGGTATCTAAGAAGTACAGATATCTCTAAGAAGGTGATGTGTCTGTGTCGGACATCAACACTCTTCAGACACTTGTTCAATACTCTTTTTTATGTGTTCATCATTAAAAAAAAAATCTTAATTTTGGATACATGTCCAACACTCAAATTTTGCAATGTGTTTGTCACTTGCCCATGTCTATCATTAAAAAATAAATATAAGACCAACACCTTTTAGACATTTGCTAACAAATGATTTTTGAAGTTTGAGAATTTGACATAAATATATCTTTAATACTCTTAATAATTATTAAGAATAATCCTATACAAGTTTCACTTAAACTTAAATGAAACAACACGCTTGGGACATGTTAAAGTTTTATATTTTTATAAATTTATTATACGTTATTTATATGAATAATTTATTCAAAGATTAAAAAAAAAAAAAATGTAACACAACACATTTTTTACATTAAAATTCTATATATTTCATAAATTAAACATCAAGATATCATGCACATAGTAATTACATTCTAAACAACACAAAACAATTATATAACATCGTATATTCTCCATTCATCTTATAAATGTTCCAAAACATATTTAGAATACGTAAGCTATGCTATGAAGAATGGAGAATATTGTTATAATAAAGGGATTCATCATATTCGCAAAGTGTTGTAGAAGAGTTAGATGTTATGAATTTGATTTTTTAATTAGAAAACGTTGAAGAAGTGCCGGATACGTTTTTAGGAGTGTCTAAAGAGTATCGTGTCAGACACGACACGCTTCCTTGGTAGAAGTGCCGGTGCTTCTTAGTATATAACTACATAATATAATATTAATATGTAATTATTTGTGGTGTGTCGATACCGCGTCCGTACTTTTTCAAAGTTTATCGTGTCGACATGCCTGTATTGCGTCATATTCGTGTCTTGTGTCCCGTGTCCATCTCTATGCTTCATAAGTTGGTATGATAATCCAAGTTTCCTAGAAATTAAGTGTAACCAGCCAACTATAGACAAACTCAAATTGCATTTATTTAGTACCAACCTTGAACATAACGTAAAAATTATAATTGATTTAAATTCATCTTTTTTCCATATTAGTTATCATATCAATTATGAAAAGATGAGTTTTTAACCGTTTAATTAATTACCTCGTATTATGACAATCTATGGCCCCATTGCATAGCTAAGTGAATTAACGCCTAGTTGTTATCAATATTAAAGGTTGGGAGTTGTTGCATTTTGAAAGTGTTCCACTCTTCCTTCTAGGGATAGACATGGTTGTTAGAATTGTACGATTCGCGATTCGATATGAGTATCATAAAAAACGATTCGAATCGTACTGTTGAATTGGAAATTGAGTGAATTGTACAATTCAATTTACGATTCACTAAGATTTATTACAATTCTCTACGATTCAGTTCTATTTCTATTTTTGCTTACATAATGTATGAAATGAGGTCATTTTTGCCAAACTATGAAGATATATAGAAGAGATTAATTAGTTATATTGATATATGTAATTTTATATATATATATACATGTATATAATTTAGTCATATTGATAATTTGCTTTATTTTAAACACCTTATATTTTATATATATATATATATAAATATATAGAATTGTATATCATATTAAATAAAATGAATCTTGTGAAACAATTTATTATTTAGCAAAACCATTCATGATTCGATTTGCAATTTGACAACAATGCTTTGTGGTTACAAATTTGATGATGGTGGGAACAGGCTTTTATTGACTGGCTTTAATTTTCTATTTTGTAAATCTCATTAGCTTAGATTTCTCATAATTATCTCCTATCCTGGTTGTGCACTTTAAAAAACACCAAATTAACCCCACTTGCCTTCTTTAAATTGAGAGCGATTCTTTGTTTTGCCTCATGAGTCTTTTTCGATACTGAATACAGCTCATGCCAGTCAAAGTAACAAAGGGATGCCTTGGTTGTTCCCCCACGGAGATTTAAGGGTGTTCTGCAGCAGAAATGTGCCTCGGATCTTTGTCTAGGGAACTTTATGCTGCAGAGTGACACAGCTAAGGTTTGTGGTGTTGTTGTATCAAGGTGAAGCTTGACAGCCCTGCTGTAACTTCTCAACAACTAATCTGATAGTGCAAGAATAGGGCTTTTGATCCCTTCACTCTGTTGAAGAGATCTTCCAAATCATTTTTCAAAAAAAAGAAAAAAAAGAAGATATCTTCCAAATCCTTGAATTCCAAAATGGTTCGGTATACTGGGGAGGGCAGTGAAGCAAGACACCTGTTGAATGACAGGGAGATCTCTTGCCAAGAACTCTTTCGCAAAAAACTGACACCAAGCGATGTCAGTGGGCTGAACAGGCTTGTCATTCCAAAAAAATATGCTGTCGTGCATTTCCCTCCTGTGAGAAACATTCATGCACAGGGCATTTCAAATAAACGTCAGGCGGTGGGCATCCCAATAAGGTTAAAGGATAAAGGTTTCAAGACATGGAACTTTACATATTGTTTTTGGAAAAGTAATCAGAGTTTTGTGATTACAAAAGGCTGGAAAGAATTTGTTAAGGAGGCAAGATTGAAGCCAAAGGACGTTGTTATCTTTTATGGTCCTCGAGAGGGCAAACTGGCTTCTATAATTGGTGTAGAGTGTAATGACAGTGGAACAAGTGGTGGGTTACTTAGAAGTCATGTGGGCCTGCAGCCTGATCTGCAATGTGATTTTGAAGATCAAGATGGTGAGGATGAAAGGGGGGGAAACGAGATGAAAAAGGGGTTTAAACTTTTTGGTGTAGAGATCAAGGTGGGCGGCGGAAATGGAAATGGAAATGGAGTGTGAACTCTCTATTGTGGTGTCTAGTAGCTGAAAACACCAAACTATCACCCTTTCAAGGTGTTCTAGTAATAAATGTCTATCGGAGTCTAGTTTTCTTTTTCTATTCCTAAGTGGTAGATGTGTCTAATCGAGTGAGATCATGTAAGTCAACCTTAATGCCTATTTTATCAGAAGAATGTTTCTATTTCTCTTGCATAATCATCATTATCTCAATGCCTATTTTGTCACAAGTGAATGTGCCTATATTGAAAAATTATTTGTTAATTGTTTGACATACAAGTTTACATGAAGGGGTATTCCAAATTGGATGAATGAAGTAGAACCAAATCTTTCTTTTATTATATTTCTATGTTTACCAAAAACTTCATGAGATGCACATAATTTTTGTAAAAGATTATTTAAACCTAATAACTTGCGAAATTACTACAATTTCAGCCCTTGAAAGTAGCAAACTGCCCAATAAAGTTGGGCAAATGAAAAATCGATCACTGTTTTAACACACAAAAAAAAAAACCCAAAAAAGAGGAAGAATCACTAAAACAAGATCTAAGCAGGCGAGGAAGGAGAGGCTAGAAAAGGCAAGGGAAGGGGCTCTCCAGCTCTAGGAAGATTGTGTTTAGGATCTGGTAATCTAAGCCTTGCTTCTTTTGGTCAGCTCGTGCTATAGCCTGTGCTTTTAGTTTGTGTTTGCTTTATGCTATCAACATTTACCTGCGATGAACATTGCTGTGGTACTTGATTGTTGAATCTTCATTTGAGTTCATGTTACGATCTGGGTGATCTGGATATGAGGGAAGGGGTTCTTGAATGAGTAGCCAGGGCCATACTACAATGAAAATACTCAAATGCATATTACAATGTGTTCTTGTGATTTTGCAGCACTCTAATATGATCTACTTCTTTGGACACCATAATGGGTAGTATGTACTTGATTTGTCATGCTTTATGTGAACTTGTCATATAATCCCAAATTGTAGATTTCTTATAAGATATTGCTTTGAAGGCTTCTTGTACTCCCTAGAGTTCAACTTCATGCTTTTCTTTGAGTTCAATTTTTCATTTCAAGTTAACATATAATGTTGTTCTGTTAAAATGTGAACTTGCTACATAATCCCAAACCGTAGATTTCTTATAAGATATATTGCATTGACGGCTGGTAGTCTCTAGAGTTCAACTGCATGCTTTTGTTCAAGTTCAGTTTTTTTTCATTTCAAGTAAATATGAAATTTTTGTTATACTAAAATGTGAACTGGCTGCATCATCCTGAATTGTAGATTTCTTATAACATACTCTCTAGAGTTCACTGCATGCTTTTCTTTGAGTTCAATTTTAAGGTACTTGCTTTATCTTGGATGAGGTGATACTGGAGATCTCCGTGGACATCTTTTGTAACTGGTCATTTTTCTGTGTTTCTTTTTTGCAATTTTATTGTTTTTGTATTTGGTTCATTTTTTTGTGCTATTAATTCCTTTTTATTGTTCTGTGTCTGTATTTGGCTCAGTATATGTTTACTCATTGGCAGGTTTAAGGATTTTCATTCATATTAAGGGCCCCAAAATTAGCTTTAGAAAATGAGACAAGTAGTTCTACCTGAAACGTTTGATGTTTCCAATTTAGTGATTTTTCCTCGTTTTTGAGTGAAAACCTTGCTTTGAAAATGACTGTTAATGGTGGTCTAAGAGGAAGAACCATCTTCGGCTAGTACTCCAGCCTTTAATGGCAGTCAGTATTGCTCTCTTGATTCTCTTTGTAGCCATCATTGTCCACTTTGCCAACCATAATGTCGCTATATCTCTTTGTAGCCATCATTGTCGACCTTAAAATTGAACTCAATATTGATCATATATTACTATCGTTTAATCTTATTATATGATATGTTTGTTTAATTGTTAGCAGTAAAGTGGATGAGAAATACTATTTACATAGAAAATATGTGCATTAAATGCACAAAAGTTCTCACATGAGTGAGACCTTTATTTTTTTGGAGACTCTTGCACCTCACTTTAGATTTTCACCATTAATGATGTGAGCCCCCACACATACATGAGTGGATTTCATACATACATCAATAATGAAAATCTAAAAAAATTTATAGAGGTCTTAAAAAAATAAGATCTCAAGCATTTTTCGATTTTTTATACATATAGCATTGATGTCTACATATATTTAGAATTGAGGTAGTAGCAACTTTGCATTATACCACATTATAGGTTATCCTTGTGTTTTCTTATGTATCTGTATGCGGTGTTGTGTTTATTTTATGACAATTTATTGTGAATAAATATTTTTAATGTTCTGAGGGTCATTAGGAAATATGTAATTCTGGATAGTTTTGTAGAAACACAAAATTACGTTGCAATAGGGCCATCATATTATTCAAACTATTAGTTGAATTGTAGACTATTATTAAACAAAATCATTATTGCAAAGTGATTATTGTGCTAGATTGTATATATATTAAAAAGAGTTTTTAAGGATTTAATTTTATTGGTGGCACAAATAAATAAATAAAAGGAGAACTAATATGTGCAACATATTATTCATTGATAGTGTTTATCAGTTTGTAAATATAACATATATTACTATACTCACATATGTATTGAACTACAAGAATTTCAAATATACAATCTTCAATTTTTGAATAAACAATGTAGGGTTTGGCTAATGAGTGCCTTAAGGACATTGGTTAACAATGTTTAAATTGATTGTACGTTACATGTTGCACGCACTATTTAACAAAACCCAACAATGTATAATAAGAAGTATCTTCAAAAGAAAATGTGACTCAAAAATCTCCCACAATTCAACCACAATGATGCAATTTGACAAGTGTCTGTTTTTGATTGGTTATACACTCAATTATATGGGATTCATCACTTTTGTCACATCATTGTGAATGCATTTGTGGGTGCAAAATATGGGTTTCTAGCATTGTTGATCTTTAAATTTCAATAAAAATTTGATAAAATTATAGGTTGTCTAAATATGTTGCTTAATTTCTACAGAAAAATTTATTCTACATAAAGTTTGAGTTCTAAAATTAAAGTTTGAGTTCTAAAATTTGAGTTAAAAATAAAATAAAATAAAATAAAAAATAAAAAGAAGATGATGAAATTTAAGTCTAATTGTTCTTAAAGGTTAAACTAAAGGCAAAAATAAAATTCACATGAAACCAATTATGTCAAAAGAGATCCATGAATATAGCCGATGGCTTATAAATTTTAACCATTTTGAATGCACAATTATATTCGTAAAAGCATCTTCAATGATCTCTCGATTTTTCCTCCTTAGTTATCATAGAGAGCTAAAATTTTAAAATTTACGGTACAAATTCGTTATCTCACCCTCTATTATAAGGTGTTTGACTTTTACTCTCTAAGTAAAAACTCAGTCTATATCTTATAAACTATATTAGAGATCATTGTTGGAGTACTAAATTTAATAAATAGCTCTCTATTTTGAAAATTAAGGTTTTCTTTTTATTGTAAAGAAATTTTAAGAACATTGCTGGAGATGCTCTAACAATGAGAAATATTATTTACATAGAAAATTTATGTATAAAATGCACATAATTTTCACATTAAGGCGAGTTTCACATGTGCACCATTATGTGAGAGCTTTTGTGCATGTTGTGCTCATATTTTATGTAGCATGCCTATTTAACAATGAAAAATGTTTGGGACCTCCAAAGTTAGGGACTTTCATGACACTCTCAAAATGATGTAAATTAATCATGTGTTTTTATTTTTTTGTTTTTATTTTTTTTTTCTTTCCTTCCTGGACCAATCATGGTGAGTGGGGATTGTATTTTTTGAGGGTATGTTACATTGTTGATTTAACAATATTGATTTCATTAAGAGTAATGCTAGAGACTCTAAAAATTTTATTAAAATTTTTATTAAATGTCTCACATGAGTGTAGGATTCACACTCATGTTTAACATTTTTGTTTCATTAATGCTTAAATCTCCACAAGTTTGATCATATATTACTATCATTTAATCTTATTATATGATATGTTTGTTTAATTGTTAGCAGTAAAGTGGATGAGAAATACTATTTACATAGAAAATATGTGCATTAAATGCACAAAGTTCTCACATGAGTGAGACTTCTATTTTTTGTAGACTCTTACACCTCACTTTAGATTTTCACCATTAATGATGTGAGCCCCCACACATACATGAGTGGGTCTCATACATACATCAATAATGGAAATCCAAAAAAATTTATAGAGGTCTTAAAAAAATAGGATCTCAAGCATTTTTCGATTTTTTATACATATAGCATTGATGTCTAACAATATTGATTTCATTAATGCTCAAGTCTCCACAAGCTTGACCATGTATTTCTATCATTTTATCATCAAAAATGCTAGAGGCTCCAAAAATTCTATCAAAAATTTTACCAAATGTCTCACATGGGTATGGGTCTCACATGAGACCCACATTGTGTGGGTCACACACCCATGTGAGACATTTGGTAAAATTTTTGATAGAATATTTGGGATCTCTAGCATTCCTCTTTTATTATCTGATGTGTTGGTCTAAGCAGTGCATTGGAGATTTATATTGGGTGGATCTATAACATCAATATTGTGTTGACATAAGCATAATATGATGTAGAAATGTGGTAGATGTATAATTTCAGGGAAACTTTATCGGTACAAAAAAAATTTATATAAAAATTATTATAAAAATGTGTGGCAATATTATTTTTATAAATAATTGTCATTCAATAATGCTAGGGATACAAATAAAACACAAAATGAGCTACACATGTCTTAGTAGGGGTGGGGTCTACATGATGTGGGACTCACATGTGGGACTCACTTTTTGTAAGAAATATGTGTTTCATTTTGTATTGAATAATGCTATATATACCAATTAGTGTACTAATTGATGATGTAACATAATTTAAGAGTTTTTGATATTTATAATTTGTATAATGAGTAGGGTCAATCATAATGTCATAATTAATGTTGGTATACTAATTGATACATGG